GAATACTGTCGAACAATTTGATAATATGGATAGCCAATGAGAAGCCGAGAGCTGAGTAATAGACTGAGTCTGAAGGGGAATGTGCGTATCAGTAAAGATGTGATCATACCTATCTATTTAGTCATGTGTCAACCTATATTACTAAGAATGTTTTATGACATACATTTTAATTATAATGGTATTAAAGTCATTGAGTGTATAAAATATAAAAATATATTGATATKTGTTGAAAGTTTCAAGTATCATAAACTTTTTTTTAAATTACAACAAAATGACTAAAATTATTTTTCTTCATTTAAACATCCAATTTAGCCCAAATTTGAGCTTAAATGTTCAATTACAAAAAACAGTTTATACATTTTTTTGAACAGTATGAATTAGCTGAGATATTTATAACATTATATCAAAATGTTAGTCAATATTATACCTAATTGTTGAGCTGTAATAGTTAAACTGAAAGCTAATAAAGAAAAAAAATTTAATCCATAACAATAAAAATGTAACATTTAATTAGAAAATTATTGACAATTGTACTTTAAATGCTAATAAAAAAGTTTTACCTACATATATTTAATATTTAAAATACCAAATAGCTAAAAATTATAACAAAAAATTATGGAGAAACACGGGTTATTTTTTATTGTTTTAACCATAAAAAATTTATTTCATTAACATATTTTATAAAAAGTGGGCAAGTAGGTATCACTCTGCTGTATAGTAGAGATGGAGAGTAGGTCACTATAATGTATGTGTTAAACTTGCATGCAATGACAGGTATTATTGTATAAGAAAAACGATTCTGAACGGAGATGATTTGTCAGTCTAGGATATATTATATCACCTATATTTAAATTATAGCGTATTTTTTTTTTTTTTATTTAAGTAATTAATTTTTAAGAATGATTTCAGCCCAGTTTATTTTTACAGTTATTTGGAATAAAATTATGGAGAACCAAGTGTTGGGTTTTTAAATCTTACGTATAAATCAAAACAATTTTATGAATTTTCAATTCCATAATTCTATGCAAATTTTGGCGATTTTGACATGTTTCGTAAGCATTTGAACTTAAAATGCTTAAAAAAAAAAATTGTGAYTAATTTTTTTTACTACGATAATTAAAACTTATCATAAACCTTGTATTGAATTTAAAAAGGTTTTGGACAACCAATTTTTTTTATAGGCATTTGAATAACATGGAATTATTTTCTATTGGTACATTATAAAATGTTTGAAATATATTACTCTTTTTGAGCTTTTTATGGGCATGAGACATTTTTGTATATTATTTCAAATATTGTTGATAATTAAGTTTTTGTTTTGTCAAAAACCTTTAAAAATTAATACAAAGTTCTAGATAAGTTTTTCTAAGAGTAATGAAAAAAAATGAGCATAAATCCAAAAAAAATATATGAGTGACTGAAGTTAGAATATTGATACTAAAAGTTTGCTGGAATATTGCATACAATATTTATCAGCATTAACAGTTCATAAAAATGATTTGATACAAAAGCACGTTTTTTTCTTCTATGATTTAAATTCAAACATGGACAATTACCTCGATTTGCATTCCGACAGTTCTAAAATTGTTCACATAATTTACAAAGGATTGATCTAAGTACTTCAAACATCAAATAAACTTGATATGAGCTAACAGACCACTTACTTTAATTTTAAATGAATAGCGATAAAGCATTAAATTCAAATTTAAAAAATCCATTACAGTGACCCACTCAACACCTACTTTACAACAGTGCAATACCCACTTGTCCACCATTTTATTGCAAATGTTTATTTGTTATCAGAAATTTATAATGAAAATTATTAAGCCAATCGCACACAATTTGTGTTCTCTTCAAATAAATATTCATCAATTGTTGTACTCTATATGTATGAGTCGTATGGAATACATTTTAATCATAGAGTATAATGATTATTTTTACTCAGTCACTTGTGGCTTCAGATTGGTTGACAACAAAAAGTCATAGGAATTTAACAGAATACATACATAGTTGTGTATAAATGACATGATCGTAAGTTCAAAATATATAGGTGATTACTCAATTATCATGCTCACAGAGTAAATGGGTCATGTGTGCCCAGATTTACAGACATTTTGTTGATCATAATTAATGAATCAATGAGTCATTCAAATTTATACWTTAGAATAAATATATATCAAGTAATTGTAATTTGTTTTTTACCTTTTTTTTGATTTTTTTTTCCTGGGGCACCTGAAAAGCAAAATTATACAAAATTATGCAATACTTGAAAAATAATATATTTGTTTATAATACCAGGAGTTCCAGTATTTGGTTGATCAGGATTCATTATAACACTCGAACGAATACAAGTGAACACTGCACTGTACCGAAATCAAAGTCTAAAAAACGGTGTACAAGGAGCGTCGGATCGATGAATAAAACAAGAACGGTATTATTACAGATTATATAATCTGTGGTATTATGTTAAAATCACAAACCGATACTATGTGTCAGTGTAACGTAAACAAAAAAGCAGCTCAATACGTCTTCTTACGGTGCTTTGAATAAGATGATAAAATTCAAGTGACTTCGCTCAGAGTATACTCAGTATACCTTTCTATTAACAGAAAATGAGAAAAACAACTCTAAATCTAAAATTTTAATATTCAATGCCGATGTACTGATTAAGACGTACGCATTGACCAATTATTGACGTCTRATGATACTTTCAGACTTCAGTTTGAACTTTGGAAACTCTGAAAACTGAAAAGACAGTGTAACACAAATGACGTGCTCGACATCACAATTTCTCTACTGCGTAAATGCGTATTGCGTATGCGTATAGCACTCTATTGGGTAATGCGTACAAAAAAATAAAAATTCCAATAGTAGCCAGTTGAGTAGGTTACACAGATAACCATTGATATGGAATGATTGATGGTGATTGGAAGTTGGAAGTGCAGACAGTGTAGACCATGGATAAAAATGTTAAACGTTATTTAGTTGTAGGCTGTGGCATGACAATGCAATTTTCACTTTCCAGCATAGCCAACATTTTTCTTTGCCGATCCATGAGACCATGAATACACGTCACCAATTAATGCCWAATGGTGATACTAATAATAATATTTTATTTTATTATTATAATAATATTTTTTGATAACATAAGTTATAAGCTTAAGAAAGTACATTTATTTTTTATTTTTTCATTAAATTACTAAAAATTACTGGTTTGTGCTATCAAAAAAACAACGACGCTATGACACAGATAAAATTCTTACCTATGCGTTGTGAAATTTTGAAAATTCCATTATAAATATTGAGGGAGAAAAGTTGTCCCGCGCTAAACCTATTTTGCTATGTTATACATTTGTAAGACGGAGACAACACATACGGGTGTGGCGTCCTCTTAATATAATAACACTTGGACATATATATTATATATATAACGAATTTTCTAATTTTAGATTAAGAGGACGGTACGCCCAAGGTTAATTAATTAATTTAAATATTATAATATAATAATAATAATAATATAAATATTTATATTAACCTTGGTTATGCCCTACACGGCCTACACCCGCATGTGATGTCTCCGTCTTACAAATGTAAAAGTTTAAAAAATTTAACAAATAAATATTAATACAAAATTACTATTAATAAAATTAAAATAATTATAACCGTTGAACATATTTTCCCACTCCACTGTGAACTCATGGAATTCAACCATATGAGCCATGAGAGGGCCGCTAAATGTACGTATGTTAATATGTTATGTTATATTAAGTTAAGACTTAAGTTAATGAACTATCAATGTTAGTGATAGCCGTCCCCAGAAGGTGATGCAAGTTACTGACTAAATTTACTACCTAAATACATAGTAYTTTTTTTAGGACGGAAATTTCCGAATTCCGTCCCGTGGGTGGTCCGTTATACATACAGGTGGCGCATCCTCAAGTATATGTGTTACATTTATAGTCATAAGCCGTAGACCGTAACTTGACACCGGTTTGTGTGTTAGGTTTTGTCTAAGTTTTTACCAACGTATTTCAAAAAATCTAAAAAATTATTATTTTTATTTTTATTTCACTTCACTAAAAATAATTAGACATGGGTAAGGCTGTTTGTCGGATTTTTAAATATTACACCTTAGAATAGTTACTAACATAATTATAGGACGGATTTGGACATGTTGAATCGTCCCCGGAACGAAATGCAGACTTCAGTTTTGGAACCATAGGGGGTCAGGGACGGATTTCCGAATTCGGTACCAGCCCAAATAACATGCAGTCATCAATCATCATAATATCTTTTTTTATTCTTTTCCCTWCACTTCTCTACTAATAATCTTACACAAAATTACGGCTCCATTGTCGATTTTACTGGTATAAACCCAAACTGATTTTCTGATATTGATGTTTTATTTGTTATTCTCTTCTCTACAATCTTTTCCCAAATCTTCATATTATGACTGACTCATAAGCTTTATTCTTCTATAATTCCTACATTCTTCTATGTCTCCTTTTCCTTTAAATAATATTTTCTGGCATTTTCCCATATATTRAGACCTTATTAAAAAGACCTTTCAACCATCCAATTCCTTTATCCCCTAAAATTTTACTGTAAGCATGAAACCGTATATTAAGGTATGTTCTTGTTATGTGATTTATTATTTCTATTTTATGAGGTCTTGAAAATAAGTCAGATGGATCCCAAGAGCTATCACATTCTTGAAYATAGTAGAGGACGTTGCTAATGCATTTTGAAAATAAACCATAATTTTCAAATCCACGTTTTTGGCGCCAAAATAAATTTATTTATCATCAATATTAAACAGGCGTGATAAGACCCATTGGCCTCTTTTTAAATGGCGGATGGTAACTTCAAGTCTTATCAAAGTAAAGTTAGAAATCTATAGTTGGTAATCAACACAAAATCGTGGTAATCACCATCTTTAATCATTAAACAACTATCATAATTCACAGGCTCACAGCATTAGCGAGTAACGTTTGTAAATTGTAATTTATATTTTGTTTTTGTTTGACGTAGGAAACTAATGACTTTACGAAAACACGCTAAATTGAAGTAAAATATTTAAGTGAAATTTATTAGTTGTGGGTACGTACTACGTTTTATAATGGCTGACGTTTTAGACTTAAACGCTGAAGACTTTGTGGAAGAAGATGACGGTAATATTGTAATAAAAACTTTGAGGAAATRATGTATTAATGTTCAATAATATTCATAAGTCCATAGMGTTTACAGTATAACCATTGAACAATTGTTCTTAAATCTAGCTTTTCCTAAATCGGTCCGTTTCATATTATTTATCTGAAGCTTATGATTTAAACATAAGAGTATAGCTTATGTAATTAGTTCATCTAATTACTTTTACAAATGTCCAGGTATTTTTTTTCAGTGTTAATCCAAACTGATTCTAAATACAATCTTATTTTTATCAATATATTTCTATAAAAAGTATTAAATTATTATACACAACTAAACTTTGATCAAAGTATTTTTTAAGGATATCGGWTATGATATAATTATTTAAAATGTTTAATGATAGTGTTACCATTACCTTATTTATAATACACCAATACCTCTAAAGTTATCTATCCCAATTGGGCAACTATACTCCTGTTTATAAACTATATTTGAACTAATTTCTATAGGTAGTTTAAAAATTAAAATGCGACTAAAATTATTATTTTTAGAGGGAGTTTCTAAGCTTAAAGAAAAAGCTAGAAGAAGAAAAGGACGTGGTTTTGAAGAAAAATCTAAAAGAGATAATATCAAAGATGAAGCCATGGAATTTGATTCTGTCGATCAAGCTGATGATGATGGACCTGGACCACAAAGATGTAATTTTACACAAATTATAAATTATTGATTTGTTATTAATATTATTCAAATTCCTTCACAGCTGTTGAAGGCTGGATATTGTTTATTTCTTCTTTACATGAAGAAGCCCAAGAAGATGATTTGCATGATAAATTTGCAGAGTTTGGAAAAATTAAAAACTTGCATTTAAATTTGGACCGTAGAACTGGTTTTTTAAAAGTAATTTCTAAATAAAATTATTAAGCTTATAGTTCATCAATACTTAAATTTCCTTTTTGAAGGGTTATGCTTTAGTCGAATATGAATCGTATAAAGAAGCGTTTCGAGCACGTGAAGGACTGAATAATACAGATATTTTGGGACAACAAATTAGTGTAGATTGGTGCTTTGTAAAAGGACCAAAAAGGTATTTTAGTTTTGAGTTTAATATTATTGGCATAAGTAAGAAATATTTTCTTTTCTCTGATTAATATTAATTTATTTTTCAGGATAAAGAAACCAAGACRCCGAATGACTGATTATTAAAGTATTAAAATTTCAGATATATGAACAAAATTTCAATATAACTAAGTTCTATTTTCATAACTATTCTCTATTAACAGTAATATTTTAAGTATTAAAATTAAAAAATACATTTTCTAAAGTCAAAAGTTAAAACATTTCAATTACTAATTTTAWGACACTCTGAAGGTTAATTTTTTCTTTTGTTCCTAATATTATGTTTATAAAATACTAAATAAATAAATCAACTATAGCCATGTGCCTTGGTTTTATTCAATAAAATAAATTTACATCCCTAAAATTAAAGCTAACTACATAAGATTGGCTCGATTGTACTCAAATTTGTTATGTTATGCTTAGGTTTGAATGTTTGAAAGATAAACAAATTGAATGCACTGAAATTGTTATTTAATTAATGTTAGAATTTCTATATATTTATATGATATTACCTAGGTAATACAGATAAAAGTCAATTACACAACTACACACGCAGACAAGCTTGTATATTAAAATAAAATAAATATTAAATACTATACTAAAACAGTTAATGACGTACCAAAAACCATTTTGAATAAAACTCAGTTTACTTATAATAAGTATGCTTGCTTAAAATATTTTTCAATGAATTTTATACAAAATTCAAAAGACGATTCTTTTATTCAACAAAAAAATACATAATTCTCAACAAAATCATTTTTAAAATGGTATAATTATCATGTATTATGGCCATTTCATGCAATTGTGTTATGTGAGCAAATTAGTTATGTAGGAATCACTGTCTTTAGTTCATACAAGCATCATTCTTATTCTTTATAAATATATAAACCTTGTCTTTGGTTAAAGCATTCTTCAATGGTTCACAGTATTCATGAATTTATTTTTTCCATTTTCTAACAGCCGTGACAAATAGTAATGCAGACATCAAAGTAAACATCAGAGAAACAGTTAATATCTAAAAAAAAAGACATAATAATAAAATGCTTTATAGTTTCAATTGGTATGACAAATAATATTATACATTGAGAACTCTGTACAGTATTTAAGATTTATCCAATTATATAAATAGTTGTCAGTAGATTGATAGCCTTCAATGAAGACTGATTACTTTATAAATCCTTTAATTGAAAMAAAATAACACAACATTTAAATTTAAATCAATACCTTTAATATAATCCATCCTTTTTTCCATATTTTATAATTAAGTTTGATAGTATATGTTTTTTTTGCATGTAACTGTTTTTATGTGCTTAAATACACAGTGCATTTTTTAATTAGATTATATTTTCAGTAAAAAATTGTTGAAAAAACAATGGTACCTAGGTTTTTAACCTAAACACTAAATACTTAGTATAAAATGCTCACAATGTATCCCTATTGACCTATTCTCAAGGTATTATTGTATAAAATGACTTACCTGATTTTTTGTCCCTATAACAAAAACAAGGCCTTGGATAAATAGTAATGTAAATATTGATATTATCAATAATGACATGAACAAATTAAAACCAAATATTAGTCCATAACTGTCGGGTTTTATGTGCTTTGCAACCTCAGAGCTAAAATAATAATCATACAAGTAGATTAAAAACTATGTGTTTTATGTGTCCTTAACTCTTAACCCCCGTCACATAATTTTAACAAAATTTTTTAAGAGATTTTAAAATAAAATATTTATCCAACCTATCGCCAAACGATGGAAGTCTTTGGAAAACAACCAAGCAAATACTTCAACACAATCTCTCCAATAAGAAAAACTGATAGCAGTTTTCCTCAATCTGGCCTTGAGAAAGCTAAATTATTTAAAAATCATCTCTATGAAATCTCCCAACGCCACCCAGACATAATTGTACCTGAAAACGTAAATACTGTCCAAACGTTCCTCGACTCACCACTCCCACTTATCCTTCTAGAGAAACACTCCACACCAAATGACGTCAAATTCACGATTCAAAAATACCAACTCAAAAAATATCCATCTTTTGATTTTATCACAGCTGAAGTGGTCAAATGTTTACCAAAACGTGCTATTATTCTCATTCGATCGCAATCTCACTTGGGCACACTATATTAMAACTTAACAGTTGCAGCTGAATTCCCGGCTACGCAGTATGCATGCTTTAAACACTTCTCATTAATAATAAACAAACAAATTTAAACACTAAACTACTAATGTACAAATCCCTACTCAAATCTATAAGGGCCTACGGTATACAACTATGGAGTAATGCTAAAATCTCTAATCTTAAAAAAATCCAAACGTTTCAAAATATTGCTTTAAGAAAAATTACTAACTCTCCCTGGTACATATCAAATCACACGCTTCATATCGATTTCTGTCTAAAAACCGTCCAAGAAGAAGCAAAATACTTCTATAAGCGTTTTCATGATCGTCTCATAATCCACACAAATCCATTAATTTGTGAATTAGCATCAAACAAAATACATGGTAATCCTACCGACGGCTAAAAAGAAAATAGTGCTGTGATTTCCTAAACAACTAAAAATTGAATGGTTAAAAATTAGTTAACATTTAAAAAAAAAAAGTCAATAGGAAATGTCACTACTGAGTGGCTTCTTCCAAAACTCATTCATGTCATTGTAAATTAGCTCATATTCTTATTGTGCCTTTGGATACAGATTGTATATTTCTTATAAAAATAATAATAATATACTTTGGTATATTCTATTTAATAGGTATATTCTGTTCAGCTAGAGAATACGCCAATTTTAAACATCCCCATGCAAATAGGTAGGTACATAATACTCTGCCATCAAAACAAGTTTCACTAAGGAAGTGTAGTATGGGAACACGTAAAAGAACCGATTTTCGTTGTTTGTCTTCTTTCGCCAAACAAACCAAATATAGTAGTATATTTAAGGTACTTGTCATCTGAGAGCTGAGGGGCTAAGTACTTTGTGTTTGTTAAAATATTACCTACATATTTAAAAAAAAATTAATAACATTAAAGCAATTGACGGGGATTAACATGTTTGGACACCGACAGTATATATATTATAAATGTAAAGAGTGTGCAAGTTATCAGTTTTTACTTTATTAAAACATTCTTAAAGATGTACGGTAGTTATTGATTTAAAAAATTGATCCGATAAACATGTTATTATATTATAGCCATATAGGACATTTAATCAATGTTACAAACCTAACTAACATAACCAATTTAAATTGTATAGGTATTTAGATTTTTATGATGAGAGTTAATAGAACATAAAACACTAATAACTAATAACTCATTGACAGTCACAAATGATTATAATCAATAATGTTTTATGATATTATAATATGTAGGTTTATCTATTACCTACCTAGTTTCTTTAGTCCATAAAAATCTTAAATAATAATTATAATATTATGAACAATATAAACTGATAACTCTTAAAAAGTTTGACAATTTTTGTAATAATATAAAGTACATAACCACTAATTAAATAAGTACCTAACATTTTAGATCATGGACAGTGAACATTAAATTATTTTATTTAATTCCCTACTATACATGAAAAATTAATAAATATATAAATTATCCAAATTATGATTAAAAAAAAAAAAAAAACTGTTGAATAAATGACTATGCAAGGGCCGTGATGTATAATTTATTACTTTGTTACTAAATGTGTATAGCTAAGGCCTAGTTAAAGTAAATAGGTACTTAAAGTTATATTTACATTCAATATAATTAACACCTCTAAAAAACGTGATAAATGTTAAACAGGACAGGTACAAATATTAATAATTTGTTAAATAGTAATAAAATAATAAATTATAATACCTTTAAACTTAATAGTCTAACAATTATCAAGTCCAAAGAAACAATATTGTCAATATATACTTTTATAGTATATTACACCGGCAACATTGATCGATGATAACTTTGTCAACAACATTTACGAAGGACGGATAATTTTTTGGTTGTTACAATGTTACTATTAACTAGGTATAGATAGTATTATTA